AGTGGCATGTGGTGCAAAAAAACTGAGACAGAGTAGGCGGTGTGACGCGAGCAGCCCAAGTGAACTTTTGCTTTTAAAATATATAAATAAAGATAAATGGATGGAGAGAGAGAGAGAGAGAGTGTCGAAACAGCATCAGGCGTCATCACACAGTTGAAATGTGTTTGAATGGACCTTTCTATATATGAATGATATACGCAGCTTGGTTAAACTTCCTCGTGTTGCATTGCCCGCAACTTCAATAAATGGAATCATTTTTCATCCAGATGGCTTGTAGCTAGAAAAGTATAGAAGGTTTTTTTTTTTCATTTCCTATTTTGGAATTGATGTTCAGAATGTATGCTAAAACTAACTCTTACAGGAGGCAGTAACATAGTATACTATACTGTATAAAACATGGACGTAATATCCGTGACAACACCCATTGGTTTCTGAAGTGGTGCTTTGACGCCAAACAATATTAGTCACCATATTGGAAATGCTTTCCTCCTCCTAACTTTCTATCAGTTAAGTAACAGGCAAAAGGTAAGTTTGAGGGATATTGTTTACTGTTTTCAAAAGCTTACTTTTACGTGTTAGCATGCTATACCTAGCTATTAAGAAAAGAAAGTAGGCTAAGTTAAACTACAAAAATGGTGGAGGAAATGCTATCAGTAGCTTTTTTTATATTCTGTTTGAAGGCATTCTTTTCTGTTCATTACTGACCAAATGATGGAGCTGGTTAAGAAATAAAGGGCTCATCAAAGCTGTTAGTTATTAACATGTTACTTATTAACATAAGTAAGATGACAAGGGAGAACATGTCGAACACAGAGTCGTACAAATCACTCAAAGAATGCAAAATATGCTTTGAATTTAATCTCAAGGCGACATATTAGCCTCACTTCATCTGGCAGACCTCTGAGGTGCTGCACATATCTTCTATTTTCTCAGTGATTCAAATAGATTTCATACAAAAAGTGAAGTCATATCAAATAGCCATTAGACACCATGGTATTATGTCTCCAAACCTTTGACGGTGTGTAGTCAATGTGTGCAGATCTGCAACGTACTGCAGCGAAGGAAAAGAACAAAGATTTCCATTTTCCTTCAAATTCTAGAGTGACTTTTCTGATATGACCTGACAACATGTAGTCTATAAATCATGTGCTAATGTAGGCTCTATAGACTATTGTAAACTGATACGTATAGAAGAGTTTCATAGTAAACATTTCAAACTTGAAATGTGTCTGCTGATGTCAGGTGCAAACTAGCAAGCAGTGGCCTGACCTGAAAGTATTCACAGAAAGTCCCAGACGCTTTAACCAAAGGGGAAAGCAGTCATCACTGAAAAGCTCTTTGACACATTCAAGGTTTTTTCTGCTCCAGTTTGAAAAGAAGATTGAAAAGAACCCGAGGTAAATGGGTCTTGGAGAAGAAGGAGAGATTTGTTTAAATGTTGTAGAGATGGCAACCCATTACACTGAATTTCTGGTCTGCATCATGATTTAAAAAACCTGTTTCGTAGATTATTTACAAGAAAAAAAAAAGAAAGAAATCTGGAAACCTCAAAATACAAATGAATGTGTAACTTGAATGCAGCGTCTTTTGTGATTTATGTTTGTAGCATCTCATTGGAATGATGAGTATTTACTTATTTCAATCCTCAATCCTTTCCTATGTCAGGTAACATGCTAATATGGGAGAATATTTTCACAACCTTGCAGTAAAATCATAGATTGTGTTTTTTCATAATTTAAGTTGCTTTTCAAGCTTCGATAAGTTATTGTGTTTGTATCAATGCAGATCTTATGTGATCAGGAATTCTCAACTGTCTTTGGGTATATGTCACATTTGAGGAATACATTAAAGTAGAGGACCCAGGTGAAGACAGCAAAAGTATTTAAATGAACTAAAGGTAAAGACAGAAAACTTAACAAAGTCCATAAAAAGTTCAACTGAAAAAATGTGATCACAAGAGAAGAAAAAACACAAGGAGTAGCCACGAGGAAAAAAATCACAGGAAGGTAGGATCAAAAAGGTGATACAACAAACTGAAGACAAGAGGGGAAGGTACACAGAAGCTAAGCCGCAGGTAACAAGACACAGGAGGAACTAAAGAGCAATCAAGTGGAGGGAAAATGCACAAAGGGAGGAAGTAAAACTCTGGAGAAAAGAACTACATAATGAAACAGGAAACACTAAAGTTATACTCAGGAGTATAAAAGTAACAATATGCAGGGGGAGTGAGAAACATAAGAAAGGAAAAAGCAAAATACAACAGAAAACACAAATCAGACCCAGGGCAATGACAGAAACACCAAAACTTAAACTCAAGACAGTGACATATTGGTATATTTTTATAAGCTCTGTTTCATGTTTGCTTCCTCTAAGGTTGTAGTCTTCATATTATTCTGTTAATTTTAATATTTTTTCTATTTTATTAAATGTAAAAAAAGAGCTAATAAATTCTTAACCTTCTTGTGAAACAAACCCCCCACAAACCTTGAATTTATGTTAGCAACCATATTGCTTTGTTGATGCCTTGTAGTAATTGTTAGGCTGCTATGTCCCCTAATGGCCACTGGGTGGCATCACAACAGCAAGTAACAATGACGGTGTGGAACTGTGAATTATGCATGTATCTATCATTTGAGCTTTAATTGGACCACATTGATGCACATTTCATACAGACTAAGCCTAAGTAAAACTGAACATGATGTAAATTATTTAGATTGCATCAGTTCCTTGATGGTTTATGAGTGAAATAAATAAAAGACTGACCTTGTGAAAATTATAACATTTATTGCTGTTGTCATTTTCAGACAAATTAATCCACCTGAAAAAGAAAAGGTATCATTCCCCCTTTGATGAAGTTGAGTAAAAGTATACATTAAAATACAAGGATAGACACTTGACTCAACATTGAGCATTGTTTAGTGTTTACAAGAATCTCACAACTTCTCTCAGACATCGCCCTCGGTTACTGTTGTGTTTTTTCAGAGATTCATGGCCATGGCCACGTTTTAATCATTCAAAAAAAAAAAACTCAGATTGAACAATGAGTAAAAAGCTATAGTAAGAGTAACACGTGTGGAAGTTGAAAGACTTTCTGATGCCTATAGGGTCCAGTCATTTCTTTGGATAAAATAAATTGTTCATATATCGTGCCTGTCTGCTGTTTCTTTCTGTGGTAATAAGGATTGCACAGCCGATGTTGTAGAAACAATCCACATCCGTCAAGGGTTTCCCACACACAAAAGAGAGAAGTTGAACAACTTTAGATTTAAGGGTATGACAGTAAACATGTTTCGATATCTTGCGTCTTCTTCTAAATGCATTATCATCTATAATCCACACCCTGCCTCAGAAACATTGACCTGACCTCTGAGTGTCCCAGTAAGATCTCAGTATAGGAAACAGTGAAATCCCCTCTGTCACCGGATGATTATTACAATCCTGTTTGACGTTTTTGAGGAGAGAATGAACAGAGATGCAAAACCCACCCAGTCTGGGCCCTGCCTGCACATTTCTCAAATACTTTCCTAGTTGAGTAGATCACCACATCTATTTGAGCGTATTTGTCTGCCCTTCTCCCAGCACAGCCTCTACACTCAGCTCTCATGTGTCAAGTAGGATACACCCCAAACACAGCTACAGCTGATACAAGTGTGAAATATACAGCAGTACAAACCGAGGCCAAGCTCAACCGCCCAAGAACCAAAATCACAGATGCTTGAACTTTAATGAAAAAATATTTTTAATGACACATCAGTTAGGATAACTTAATAAATCTTTATCATCAGACCACCTCAAGTTAAAACATTTATGAAATCCTACTGAGCAACATCAGTAAAGGCTTTCAGGCAGTTATTGGATTATCTGATTATATCATTGAAATGTGCTTGATAGTAACTAAAGGCTAATTGAAAATATAGTAGATAGGATGAAATACAACCCTTAATATTTGCAGTCTATGATTCAACCACGTAAATGAGGCTACTTGTCTTTGTTTCTTCTCTAGGCTTGCTAGTGTATGCTAGCTTAGGGTCGCTAATGTCTAAAATGTCTAGTTTGAAATATGGCCCAGTGCTATATTTTGAGAAATGAAAACATCTGTCATCCCTCATCTGGAACGCAACAGCAATACTTCTTAACAATGAGCTTTCCAAACTGAACTTTTTATGAGGAAAATTGTCTAAGTCACAAATTGAAGTTCGTCCAGGGCTTTTGTCCCGACAGAAATATTTCACCTGTTGAATTATTTTCATGATTTTGACGCTTAAGTTCCCCTAAAGATGTAACATTGGTGGTCTTTATCCATCTAGTCACATTTTATCAGTGAATGTTAGCATGCTAAAGCGCTGAAATAAGATGATATCGAGGGTTATAGGCTACTGTGGATTGTCATTAGTATGCTATGTGTGTATTTTCTTAAAGTGCCTCTAAACTGCTAGCATGGCTGTATAACTTCCGATTCTTCTGTCCCATTATCTTCTAACTTCTGTGGAAATTTCACCACATTCTTTCCCATTGATCGTTTTTATTAAATCATGCCCGTTTAATTAATATACAAACACACAGAGGCAGTTAACCCATGTTGTCCTCTGAGTTTTCAACCACAAAATAGGAAGTTAATCAGCCTACATGGCGCTTCTGCCTCATTAGCATTAGGCTACATAGCTGCTAAATTGTGTTTGAAATTTGAAATGAGAAAAAGACTATGCAGTCATGCTTTAATAAAATGCTAAAATGTTTGCAGTTAATTTGCTAATATAATATGCTAGTTGAATGTTTACTAATTCATTGATCTTTATCATTTATATTGTTGGCACATTCACAATCTTCACAAGCATTGTTGGCATTCCTATGGGAACAAAAGCCAAAGTATTTGGACCCGTTGTGGAGAAACTGAATGTTCTTGGATTTTCACTTAGCAGAAAGAAAAATGACTTCACTGGCAAGGGGAAACAGATCATAACAAAACATCTGCAGCAAATGACTCACGCATACCGCGTTCATTCTTTCAAACATGTTTTTATTTGATAATACTGAATATTTTTGTCCTTTGCCTGGACTTACACGAAGCATCAACACATGCACAGTCCTCTAATCGTACAAAGTAGCCATTCTCATTTCTCTAAACCGCTCCAAAAAAGGATTAATCGCTCTCACTCTCACGTTACTCCAGCGCAAGAGGACCCTCTCAACTCTACACTACAGCTAAATACATCTGAGACAAAGACAGCCAAAAACACACAAAAAATCATGACAGGTATATAATAATAATAATAATAATAACACTGAAAAAAATACAAAGTAATGAAAAATGTAAAGAGTTTACTTTTAAATTATGCCTCTAATACTCCATAATATATAGATTTGTTTGTTAATGTAGCTTGAGGTGTATAAAACAGCACTGTAAACTTTTATCGAGCAACTTGCTTTCTATGACGGCAATAAAGCTTTCATTAATGAGGAGAGGGAGCAGGGGAGACGGGTCAAAGCTAACATTAAGCATGTAATTAGTCAGGAAATAAACCATCTGCAAGAATATATCAGGAAATCATGAAGCTGCTTTTGGCATTTACAATCAATAGATAAAAAAAAAAGAAAGAAACTGAAATAACATCCCACCAGCTTTTATTCTTTCTCTGAACAGTAAGATCTGCAAAAAGATCCCTTATAACCAAACCTCTTGCGCGCTCCCTTTTTTTTCCCCTTTCATTGCAGGTACTATTTTTTTTCCTATGACAAAGATAGCAAGAATATGATTGCTCTTGTGAATAATAAATCACCAAAAAGTACTCGGGGAAGGGGGGGGGAGGGCAGAATCTGCACCTGAGGTGGATTTCTCAAGCTAGGCGAACATCAGTGAGTTTAGCTCTTGTCTTTACTGGACCTCATCCTCACAAAGTGCAAATCTAGTTCTAATGCAGTAAATAATGATCCAGTAACAACAAAAGTATATGCATAGGAACTGTACAGCTACGTAGTGGGGACAACATCGGACAGGGGTGAAGATAAGATGAAGAAAATCGAGAAATTTAGGGGGTTATTTCTGACTTCTTGTTGTTGTTGTGTTGTTTCACATGAAGGGCAGGTTTAAATTTAGAGCACTCATCTTTACACAGCATAGACTGGTCCAGCGAGCCTGTGGAGGTCACGCACTTTGGTTAAAAATCAACACAAAGAAAAGATTTTCACCTGACAAAACCAGCGAAAGATCAGCTATGCGAGATGATTCGTGCTTTTTTTTTTTTTTTTTTTTTTAAAGGAAAGAGCAAAGCGTTTTGTGGGCGTTTTTGTGTGACGTCACCAGTGGCCAAAGAGCTCCCAGCACAGGATATGAGAGAGGCAGAAAATAAAATGATGTACCGAAAAAAGCGAGACAATCATTTAAAAAAAAAAAAAGGCAACTTGGAATTTGGCTTTGGAGTAAAACGGAGAATGAGGTAATAAAAAGTAGAAACACGATGGGTAACGAATGATCGCCTGTGTGTCGAGGATCGTGATTGGTGGATTTGGAGAGCAGAGCTGTTGATGAAAGCGCTTTTACAGAGGGGGGGCAAAAAGTGCTCTGTCTCATTAAGGGTTTATGTCCTCCTGACGCCAGCCTCAGGAGGAAGTGACTTCATCACTCGACCAGTCTATGTCTCATGATGCTATTTTAGTTTTTCTTAAAAGAAACTGTGTCCGAAAACAACCCTTGAACCTCATCTGAGTCAGTGAATGTCGAGCAATGCGGAGCTTTTAAGAAGCCTCATGTTGCTTTTTTTTTTTTTTTTTGACTGAAACACTTATGGACAACAAATACAAAGAGAGGCTAAAGATTGTTTTCAGACCAGCTGGTAATCTCAGTCACATTAGCTTTGTTCTTTATATATATAACATATATATATCAAAAAAATCACTTTGCCTGATGTTGTTGTCTTAAATTTCAATGGAATCATTTACATTTATGTGTCGTGCCACGTGACTAAGGATCCTCTGTGTCCAGGAAGTCCTTCTTAGGCGGTGCCACGCCGCGGTACCAGGAGCAGGAGTTGTCTGCCCTCTTGACGCAGGCGTAGTGGTTGGCCTGACGCCCGTGCACCTGCTTCTCAATCATCAGGTCCGTCCACAGACACTCCTCAGGGGCGGAGATTTCGCAGGGTAAGATGGTACAGCGAACAATCTGCAGAGACACACACAGCACTCTCTTATTGCATACATATTTTGCGCAGTCATTGTATAGTCAAGTCATGATACGATTGTATCTTGTCAAAACGTAAGCGCACGATCTACAGAGGCTATAGTCCTCGTCGCAGCGGTTGTGGGATCGAAATTTAAAAGTCTGTCCTAGACTTAATTCTATTCTTTCAAGTGTAAACACTTAATATAAGGAATAAAGCGAGTTGCTAAGCTTAGGGAAGACTTAAAAAAACAGAGGAAAACAGCTTGTGTTGCTACATCCAAAGCTAAAAGAATCCATCTCGCACCTGCATGTCATACTGTTTTTTTTTTTATAAGCAAAGTCTAAGATCAATTCAAGATTAAAAAAAAAAAAAACACAAGGAGAAAAAAATGCAAATCCTTTTATTGGAGAAACTAAAACTATAAAACGCTTTGCTTGTTGTTGCAGCTCATGCCTCGTCTCATGCGGTCTGCTTTATCTGGTTTTGTTCTCCAGGAGGACAAAAGAAAAACTGGGAGATAACCACCCACACAGACACAGTTCTCCACTGCCTTTACCTTGCATTCACAGCCCATCTCGTAGCGCTGGCTGAGACCCTTCTTCTGGGTGTTGCTCAAGGAGTCCCAGGGCATAATGTAGTCACAGAGCGTCACATGCATGCTCGCTCCGGCCTCTGCTTTGCCTGTAAACGATTGGGGAGTAAGAAAAAAAATCAGATATTTTTTGGACTGATGCCTGCAGGCGTAAACAAAGACCACCTGTCCTCGAGAGATTATGTTCCATGACTGAGTGCCACCAGTCAAAACAAGAAAAGATTTCAAGCTGCGTTTAGAGATCTGCTGAGGCCGCGTCCTCGCCAGCTCACCCCTGCAGCTCTCGACATGTTGAACTCTTTACAGCGTGTCCTCGCAGACGGGCCTGACTCACGCTTCACTGTAACTCGTCCAGCTGTTAACCCTTCAGACTGCAGAGAGCATGAATCATTTTAAAGAGTCGCACCGGTCAGCAGTTAAGTTAACTGTCTCTCCCACTGTTTAAGTCCCACATCTTGAAAAAAAAAAAAAAAAAAGGGTCAGAGAGGGAGAAAACGCTGGCTTCAGCAGTTCCTTCTCTTACAACTCTATGTAATTAGGGTGCGAGCTTGTGGGTGCATCTCTGTCTGCGATGGGGAAACCAGAGCGTGTATGACATCATGCTCCTCTGCGTCTCCTATATTTCACTGTATTTTAGAGTGCCTCTTCTGCTTTCAATTACTATACCAGTGAGCATACAAACAACCAGGGAATAAATATCCTTATCCAATTAGCTTAGCATAAAGACCAGAAAGGGGGGGGGCACTCTGAAGGCATTAATGAATAACTTACAGTACATCAAAGTACATCGACATGACCTTCAAGGTAGAATAAATCCCACCACGTCGCATTCATCTTTTAATACTGAAAAGAAGTGGATCATCGTACCTGTATCGAACATTGGGTTTTTAGGGCAGAAGGGGGGTTCAGTGGTTAAGCTAGTGAAACACCTGTGATATCACCTGAATCTACAGAATGTAAAGAATCCGTTGACATAATGCATGTAACGCTGGCTTTCACTGAAAGACGCTAATATCACTCCAATGCATCCATTGAAAGCAAATTTACTGTAAATGTCACATCCACCCATTCACACTCACTCTGTACTTTAAGTACCCAACAGTACTAATCCATTCACACTCACACATTGCTGGAGTAGCCAAAGGACCAATTTGGGCTTCAGTGTCCAAAGACACTTTGACACATCACTTCAGGAGCTGGGGATTGAGCTTCAAGTAGAGAGGCAACTGACTCTATCACTGAGCCACAACCGCCCCAAGGTAAGAAGACGACGGTAAAATAGCTGTACTATTTGTGCACTAGATAGTTAACAAAACAGACATGGAACCTAGTTGGAAATACACACCTGAGATCAAATACTCCTTCTTGCCGCTGGCATCCAGGGTAACGCCACAGACAGCAGACACTGGAGCGGTGAATACAGCCTCGATGTCCTGGTTAGGCCCCTTGAACATCTGGACAGCAGGAGAGTCAAGGGGTCAGATAAGCTATTTGAAGATTCCCCCTTTTTAACCAGAACACTATCATATCTGATTGATATCCTAGGTAAGGTCTTAAACTTGATATTTGTATTCTTACCTTGATCTGTTTGACCTCATACTGGATCCTCTTGATGGGGTTCCCGTAGATATCGTTCCCGGAATCCACCTCTCTCTCGCCCACCACCTTTGCTCGAATCACTGCGAGATGAAAAGAGAAATGGTAAATGGACTCGAGCTTGAAGTATATCGCTTTTCTAGTCTTCCGACTACTCAAAGCCCTTTTGCACCGCAGGTCACACCTACACATTCGCACACTGATGGTAGATGCTGCTGTGTAAAGTTACCATCAGTATTAACTAATCCCATTCATACGCCGCTGACCAAACAGAGGGAGCAACTTGGGGTTAAGTGTCTTTCCCATGACACATCAGACATGTGGCTGCAGGAGCTGTGGATCGAACCCATGACCTTTCATTGAGACACAACGTGGAAGACGGACAAAACACTTCCAATAAATGAATGCAAAAGAGTGCTGCTGTAAAAAAAAAAAAAGTGGAAGTGTGTCAGGCTCATTGCACTCATTAATGGGAAGCTCAAAAATAAATGGGAATTTGTTTAAAATTAAAATCAAGAGAAAGAATCCCATCAGGCAGGAAACAGAATTTACAGAATCACTTACAAGAGGTGCGTTTCTCACCATGTGTATGTGTATGTATAGATGTTTGAGTTGGGTGTTTTAATGGCCTGACTGGCTACATCAGACTTCAGCTATGCTTGGGGCATTTATTCAGAATGGAAAAAATTAGCAATAGAGAGAGGAAAAAAAAAAAAAAAGTAGGAACAGAGGACAATTACACTTAGATAAACACACACTCACAGTAGACTGCTGTGGCTCTGACACGCTTGGGCTCAGTTTTATGACTTAAGAGCAGACACAATTATTGGGGTCCACAGCTCCCCGAGTTAATAGCGTCTCTCATAAGTAGCATTAATCTGAAGGTTAACGGTGTCTAATTGGTTTGCAGAGTGTGGCAAACTTTATAGCACCAGACTCCGGTCAACCTCACGGGTTAGCGTCGCAACCCTCTGCTGAATGTCGTCACGTGCTGCTCCTGTCAAGTTGTCGTATGCCAATTTAGCGTAACACAAGCTGCTCGTACAAGAGGCCATCCATCTAGTGGCACATGGCTGCATTACAGCTTAGACACAACATTTAATCCGCATTGAGGGTATTGGGGGTGAAGACATTTATTAGTTTGGTCGACTAATTACGCACATCCCTATTTCAGAAACTGGTATCAGGGCAACTCTACCTGCGATTTTCACATAAATTACTTTAAAATGTAAACGCTTATACCAAGGCTTCTAGTTTTATTACAAGCAAACTTCGGCATTTTATTTCCAATCTGATGCTTATTCAAATATCATGTGGAAGCCAGAATACACACATAAACACACACACACACACACACACACACACAGCAGTATACCTGGTTGGCACTCTCTCCTACATTCCTTACAGTTTTTCCGCTCTCATTTCCTGACCTCGTTCTGTGCCACAAACTAATGAGCAAAGAATCAGCAGCTGGACACAATACTAAGGGGAAATGATTCTGTTATTCACAACAGACTGTTATTATGGCAGCTTCACCTCGGCTGTTGCAAACATGTTTACTTCTCCTGCAATAAAACCCGAGCGGCTCACTCTGTGCAGTCTAAACAGTGTGCTGTGGGGGCTGCAGACTACACAGCGTGATCCATAAACAGTGCGACGACAGGGGGTCTGCAGACGGCTAACTTTCACCGCAGATTGATTCTGAAGTCATTGGATCACCAGGAGGAGCCAACCCCCCCCTGCCCATAAACCACCAACTGACCCACATTTTGGCTGCTCCCTTACCCCGCCCCAACCTAGACAACATTTAATGGCTTATACATCTGTATCAGTTGCACTAAGCAATGTTTTCCATGCCCAGACCAGACCCTATTTCAGCACACACACAGTGCCTCCCTTCAATCCATGGCATGACAGTCCATCTCTTTTTTTTCATACTCCAGTTACCACCAAATCATCCCAGACTCTTCTGATGTGGTTTGCTCTGATCCAGACATATGAAGGCCTTCTGTTTAACCTGTCGTCTGACCCGAGACAGACCGCCCTCTAACGCAATCCAGCCTGTCTCCTGACCTCCGGTAAGAACCTGTGATAAAGAGATGAAAGCTGTGTTGTTCTTTTTTGTGAGGGTTTAATGGGACAGTTATAGAATCTGAAGTTTCATCAGTACAATGCAATATATATTTCTTTATCTATAGAAGCACCAATTAATCTTCTTTGCTCATTTGGGGCAGTGTACCCAGATGTAAACACAGCCTGGCATATCAGCTCCTTTTAAGTAGATATCATGAACTTATTAGTAAGCAGTTGCCAGTTTACATCCAACAGCTGCTGAGCAACATTATCGTTCACAAGGAGTCAGGATTCAGACCATTTAGTTTATGTGGGTCCAATATTCCTTTTTCTTTTAGCTCTATTTTTGGTCTCCACCATTTTCTGAAGGAAATATTCAGCTGTCTTCCAGCAAATGCTCCACTATTTTAACCATGGAGAAATATGTTAAAACTTGGATAAATATTGGAGAAGCTTTTGAAAAATGGAGATAGGTTAGAACGCAGGCAGTTTTCAAGACAGTTGAAGAGATGGCTAAACACTGAAGCTTCAGTGTCCGAGACATGGTGACCTGGGTGTGCATCAACCCTAGAGAGGAGAGTCAGGTGGGGGGGGGGACATCTCTCTCCGATGTTTTGAATTTGTACTGCAGTGCCCATTTGTAACTCTACGTGTCAGAGTTACATACTGCTCCTTTAAGAATCCATCAGAGCTTTTTAAAAACCGTCCACAGCAGTCTAATGTATTTAGCACCTTTTAAGCAGGTTTTCAAGAGGAAAAAAAAAAAAAACCTTGAATGTTTCCATAAATGGAGATTTGTAGTGTTGGTGTGTGTGCATGTGTTGTTGCATGTCCTCTCCTGCCTGCAGACAGCAGGGTGACTCTGGTCTTTCATGGCGCCCAGCCTCAAGACAGTCTGCCTGGGCAGGGCTGACGGGGAAGTTCCCCTTTGTGGGCAACAGATTTATATGAAGGAGGATGTTTGTCTGAGCACACATGCATACAGCAATCGTGCGTGCGTGTGCGTGAGCGTGAGTGTGATTGTGTATGGTGGGTGCATGACACTGCTTGATCTTCATGGCTTTGGTTTGATCTGGAGCACGGTTTAGTTTTAAAAAACCGAAGGTAACACACAAAGGCACTCACACAGTGATTGTGCTTGCATGTCGGGGGATCCCACTTCACCAAGAAAACAAATATCAATTGTCCGACCACAAAACTGTTGACAATGTCACTTTGTTGTTGCCTACATGCACATTCTTGGAAACCAGACAACCAACTCTATTCTGATTTTCTGGTCATTGCAAGCCGGCAAAATCCAATTCCGTCTTTCTTCTCCACCCCTCTCTTTGTCCGGCACCAGATTGGGGTTTTTACGATCAGTCAGTTGTATCCTCAGGTCCACCCTGAAACCACTGCCGGACAATGACATCAACTGTTGTTAGCTTTAGTGGTCTGCACGTCTTTAAACACCATCCTATCCTTTAAAAAACAACATGAGCACACACTAAAAAAAAAAGAAGAACACTTGTCTTTGACACATCCTGTTACTAAGACCTGCCAGCTCAGCGAAAGATTGAGTCACACCTGAAAATAGAGCAGTCATTTTGAAATGTCAAATTACACAGATAGACATCTTAACCACAAACACATCTGAGAATGTGGAAGTGAGTGAATAAGAAGACAGAGGAGAAAAAAAAGATGGAGCCAGAGTCAACGTATGGTCTAATAGTCCTCCATTCTCTTGAATACCATGCATATTTTAAATCTGGCCAGGATTTTTATTGAAATCACACCCTGAACTGACAGCCAGATGTAATTTGTAGCCGGCATGTGTGCATGAGTCCACCATCCATTGCAGGCATGCAGCTATCTATTGGGGCTATGCAAGTGCAGTGTGCAATGTGTGTGTGTCTCCCTACTTTACATTGAAGAAAAGTTGGGAAAACCCCAGCAGCATTCCTGTAATTCTTCCCAGCACCACCCCTCACAGGACGAAAAAAAAAAGGGGCAGGAATGGAAATAAAATGTAAAAAAAGATGCATAAAGCTGTAAGTGTCATTTAACCCCGTCTTCCTCCTCCATTCAATTTCTTTTTCACATTCTCCATCCCTTGTCCTCCTCTCTGCTCTTTCCCTCCTCGTCTGTCTGTTCCTCTCTTGTGCCACGTTGCCCTGCAGAAGCCAGGCGACGCTGCAGCTTTGTCCCAGAGCTGCTGAGGGTGAAGCCTGCCTGGTGAACACACACTCTGCGCCAGACAACGAGCCAAGACTCCTTCCTGTACACAACACTGACAAACACAAACATGGTGCGCACAAACCATAGACAGACCAGTAGTCTCCTCTTTTCTTTTTTTTGCTTTTTTTTGCTTTAACTAAGCTTGCACAATGAATTAACCCTGATGATATGATTGCAATAATAAGTTAAAATAGGTCATTATCAGTGACAGTCACAGGCTTTAACTCCTTATTGTCATTTTTTGGTGGCCTTTGCTTTCAAATGAAATGTGCAGCTTCCCTTTAAAGCACCCCTCCAGGACACCATATCTTCTTCCTTAGCTCCACAAATGTCTGCTTTGGCATTTTAAGGGTCTCTGCATATTGCCATGATGACATAACTAAATGTGACAATGGGAGAAGCGTGAGTCTGCAATCTGAGTGCGAACGCAAACTGTGTAGGGCCATGGCCTTGAGTATCAACATCCCTCCTCCACCTCCAGGCTTTTCCAGCAATTTCCAGAAGCCCCTGTGACCCCAGCAAGCAGGCAAGCAAGCACCAGAGAGACGGCTGAGTAACTGCAACCCTCCGCTGTACATCCCACACAGTGCAACATGAGCAAGGTAAACAACAACAACAACAACAACAACAACAACAGTCCCCGGGGCTCTACTCACCTACATCGGCGTTGCAGAACGCCTGTTGCGGATGCACCGGGGCACAGCTGCACGCTTCCGCGAACTCCTCTGCCCGCCACAGGACGAGCAGCGCCAGCGTGCAAAGGACGCCGTTAACGGCAAACGGCATTTTTATAAACACTGACGTGATCTTATTATTATTATTATTTTTTTCCCACCCTCTTCGTCGCTCTGTGCTGCGCAAATGCGTTGCAGTCTGGATACAGCAGCTGGCAGCAGAGTTGCCCCCCCCCTCCTCCTTTTTTTTGTTGTTGTCTTCTTTAATACAGACGTCAACAACACCGGGCGGCTCGCTCTCACAGCTCCGTTACAAAGGTGAGGCGTCACTGTGAACTCGGCGGCTTCCGGAGGTGTCTCGGCTGGTGTCGGCAGCAGCTGTCTCTATTCTGGGTGTGTTTTCGTTCGGGGATCAAGGCGGTTTTATAAACGCTGCACGGAGCGGCTCCTCCCACCGGCAGGAAGGTGTCCGGTCGGCAGAGGGCGCTACAGTCTCCGTGCAGTTTAGTTTTTAGTTTATTTGCACTTTTTTTTTTTTTTTTGGAAAGAAGAGTCAAACAGAAAATTAAAACAAAGAAGAAATAAAACACATGTGCAGGTGAGGGCTTATCTCAAAACCTCACCTTAAGACATTCAACAAAGTTAAAATAAAATACAGTTAAAAAAAATAAAAAAGTAAGAATATTTACTATCACAAATAAAATTACCCAATTGAAAATGACATACAAACATTGAAAATATAAAAAAAATAGAGCAAAACTGGACATACAGTATGTAGACAATTTTACAAAATCAGGACAATTCACTATTCACCACAAATCTTTCTGACATCAACGCATTTCTGAGTCTCAATTTGTATCTAGAAAAAGACAAAAAAAAAAAAAAATATGCGTGTTCCATAATTTGACTCCACAGTATCTTATTGAGTCCTCGAGATGTACGACACACTGGTAGGTAGAGGTTATTGGTTTGTCTAGTTGAGTAATAGTTCACTTGAGAATTAAAAATGCTGTAAAGCTTTCTGCCAAGTTTGGACTCATGTATTTAACTTTAAAAATAATAAAGCTACTTATTTGAAGAATATTAATATCAAAGATTGTCAATATGTTACACATCAGAACAGGCACAGCTGATTGACCGTGTGATGACCATTAAGAGGTCAATGAAAATGAGATATCTGTTGTGTTTGTAGACTATACCGGAGCTTGGTGCAAACATGTTGCGAGTGTAACTGTCTGTCACAGTTCTTTATTAATGTTCAATTCAAAGAAACTCATTATCAAGCGAATATGTAATTATAACCATGTAGTACAACTTCAATATTTCCTTTTTAATTATTCAGAAAATATGAAAACTGATAACTGGAAGACAGTTGAAGAGTTTCCAATGTAGGACAATGATGATGTCATAGAATATGATGCATGCAGTAGATTAAACTCACCTACAGATTATCAAGTATACATTAATACGGATGTAAAAACAGCACAATATATTCAAATAGCCAAATATATGTAATGGTTAAACACTGATAGGGGCTTTTTCTTGAACTCTTTATATTTTCATAATTTAACTTGCCCACATTATTAAGCACATTTCTACATTCAGCCTCAATCAAACTGAACTTTAACCGATATGATGTGGTTGTGTTGTCATACTTAAGTAAATACTTACTTAAGGGGCGGCTGTGGATCAGTGGTAGAGTCGGTTGTCTTTCAACTGAAGGTCAGGGGTTCATCTCCGATGTGTCGTTGGGCAAGACACTTAACCGCATGTGGCTCCTGCTGTTTCATCAGCGGCGTGTGAATGTGTATGATTAGTTATTACTGATGGACACTACATAGCAGCCATTAGTGTGTGAGTGGGTTGGTGTGACGTGCAGTGTGAAAGTTCTTTGAGTAGTCAGAAGACGAGAAAAACAATACACAAGCTCAAGTCCATTTACTTCAAGGAGTACACTACACTATTTCTAACCTATAATTATAACTAATCACATAAAGAAACAATCAAAACAAAATACAGGGTACTGTATTCAAATATTTCTGTTGTTTTATTCCAGCTTATTCCGAGTATTGTGGCACAATTCAGTGTTTACACAGTGGAAAGATCAAACTGGGAAGCCTCTCACGCAAACAAGTCATAAAGTTCTACCTCCATTCTGGCAGAAGATGGCAGTATCCTCCACTTTTTTTTTTTTTTTTTTTAAATCACACTGAATGCCAGCTTCTGATATAAGCCATGCATAGAAGTACCTTTCTGGTTTCACAGTAGAGACGATATTGGTTTAAAAATTTAAAAAAAATTAAGAAAGAAACTCCAGCCACTATGTGAAAGGCACAGATTTAAGGAAAACTTTGCAGATTTAACAGAATTTTCCAACATAGAGACACCGACAAACAGCCAATGACGACACCTACAGGAGACTCATTTCACAAAGGGCACAGTGACAGAGTCTTTATCTGTGAAATAATGCCCTGTTCCTGAGGTCAGATCATTTGGTTTGTCAACAGGAGAACACAGCGCCCCCCCCTTGTATGTGTTAAAGATATGAAAAGTAAAGAAATCATTTGAACCAAGGAAAGAAAAGCAGATTAAAAACTGACACGATTCATCAAAGTTCCCACAGATAAGCACTGATATGAAGATGAAGCTGAAGAAGCATTTAATCATCACAAACATTAGAGAATGGGAACAGACACGTGATCTGGTCTTGGGTGTCATTTTGATAGTGCTAATCCGCCCTCAAAGGCCTTTGTTGAAGTAGACTTGTTGTAATGCGTCTCCGTACTTCGACTTGATGGAGTCTCTGAGCTCGGGCTCCAGCTTGGACACAGCCATAGAGCTACACAGAGAGAGGAGAGGGGGGGTGAAAATGTACTTTATTTGATTAAACATTACAGATTTCTTTACTTATAGAGAACACAAACTAACTGAACATTACTGAGAACACAAAAAAGGGAGAGGGAAGGTCCTCCCTGCCATGAGACCTCAAGGGGAAAATGTGTACCTCAGTGAATTCCAAGACCAAAATGTTTGCTATTGTTTTGCCTTTTATTTGAGGACATTTACATTTTCTGGCAGTATTCATTGAAAGAGTCACATGTTATTCTAGCTACCATTTGTCCCTGGCTTTAAACTGCCGTGCATGTTTTTTTTTTAATTGTACATGGTGGACGAAGCAACCGAGTGTGACGCTTTGATGAAAGTTGTTGCCTTTTCCATCAATGCTACGTGCTGTTGAACACATTTACAGTATCAACGATTAAGTGGTGAGGATCAAAAGCCTTAAGTAATAGAAAAGAGTACAGAGCCTCTTTCATCACGCGCATGTGTGATATTAACGTCATTACCCCCGCATGCCTCAGAATGACCTGCTGTGTTCACACGTCGGCTTTAAGGAAGCTGGTGGGGGAAGTTCTGAGTAAAAGCCGTTTGCCTTCACCTATGAAGCACAACTCTGGATATTTTCAGGAGTTTAGTTACGTGTGAAAAACACCAATAATGTTTTTTAATCATTCCTGATTAATACTGGTAGATAATGTTTTACCACACAAGTATTCACCCGATTGTTTATTTAATAACAAACCGCTGCTGTCTTAGCTACAAAAGTGAGTCCTGGTCTAACTGAAATATAAGTTCTGCTTTTATAAGTCACAGTTCAAGTTCTGAGAAGTAAACGCGTGAATGGTTTCTATGGATGACCCAGGTGGAATTAAAAAGAACAATGTCTTGGGGCGCTGGTGGCGCAGTGGTTAGTGCCAATGAATGGAGGCCATAGTCTTCCAAGTGGGAATCCCGCCTGTGGCTGCTTTCCCTCATGTCCTTCCCCACTCTCTCTCTCTCTCCCTGATTTCCATCTGTCCCATCGCTCCATTAAAGTTAAAATAAAAGCCCAAAAATCAATCTTAAAAAAAAAGAACAATATCTTTCTTTTTCAACTTCCCATAATGACTCTGGCAAAATAAAAGGCGCTCAAGGCTTTTAAGAGTTTAAAGTGCATGTGTTGCAGATTGAAAAAGCACAGACACAGGTTCTTACCATCTCTGAGGGAAGAGGGAGCAGGCAGCAGGCACCATGAAGATCAAACTTTAAAAGAAAAAAACGTTATTATCATCCAAACACTCGGGGGAAAATTCAAATCCCTCCGACTCGTTGTACTTACAATCCTCCGACCAGCATCACTTGGATTGGTCCATGTAGATACGTGATTCTCTGTGGGGGGGAGAGAGAGAACGAGAGCTTGATGAGCCTCATGTTGGGACACTAACAGCAGGAAGGAAGTGATCAAGGTGAAAGTCTGACCTGCATGAACTTGTATTTTTCCAGCCTCTGCATGATGATGGGCAGGATGACTGACAGAAGAAATGACAGATAGTCAAAAGAGGAAAAAGAGAACTTGGAAAACTCTATGGAATAATAATAATAATAATAATAATAATAATAATAAAATGAAACTTCTCTGCATACTCATTCCTGGTGCAGCCATGGTGATCCGAGAGACGACCACTTGTGTGATGCCTTTCACCGCCGCTTTCTACGCGAAGATAAAACAAAGAAATTCAAAACTGTTCAGCAATAACAAGAGGAAAGCTGTTGTGTGTTTCATAGACGTATAGAGGACGTGTTTGGACAGCTGACCGTGGAGTGGCCCAGTGTGTTGCCGTTTTCATCCGTGACAGCGATACCGTTCAGGATCTCCCTGACGAGCAGAGAGACGGAGGAGGAGGAGGAGGAGGAGGAGGAGGAGGAGAAACGAAAAGGGTTCAAGAACATGACATACCAGAAAATCAAAAAAATCCTGAGATGAATGTTAGATGAAAGAAACTTAGATATTCTGACTCGACTTTAAAAGCACACTGAGTGTTCATAAATAACTTAAAGAGTGACGTCCAACAGAAAAGAGAAGAAATAAAGTGGGGGGAAAAAACCTTCACATGGCAAACAGTGAAAAAGATATATATAGACTTTTAACCTCAAATTAAAATGCATTCTGTCGGGGCATGTTTAGGAGCTATAGGAGTGCGAGACAAAAATTGCTCCAGCAGGTGTTACCTCTGGGTTCAGGTCATACACTTTATAGGTAGGAACTTCCACCAGGGTGTCAGGTGTTGCTACACGGCAGAGCACGAACACTCTTTTGACCGCTACGCCACGATACAGCACACAAGGTTACGCCGAGTGTTTTGAGTGAATCTTTGAATGAAAATGTACGGACGAATGTTGGAACCTTCCACATGAAAAATTGAAGGCATTTAGTGAGTGAAAAAGAAATCTTTCACAAACAAAGAAGATATTTGGGGGGGGGGGAGCAAGGCAAGCGTCCTTGTGGCAAGGATATAAAAAAGGAGTTTCACAAATACGTCGACGACCCTTGTGGAAGTTTTGGCGCAGACACCGAGCTTCGTCGTGATC